ATATCTTCGGGGGTAACATGCAGAGGTCGATCAATATTACCCGAACTAGTGCCCCTTGGGTTCGTCCTGGTATGAATGCCGAGGTGTCTTATAACCGAGGTGACCTTGATGCAATCGTGTCCTGAAGTGAACTTGTCCCGAAGTGGACTTGCCCCGAGGTGGACTTGCCCCAAGGTGGTTCGGTTATCCGAGCTCGGTCCATCGCAGACTTAGGTACGTCGGGATGAACTGTCATCCTGTCAGTTAGATCGTGTCCACGTGTCCCCCTATTATTAGGTCGGGCCAAATCACCCTACATCAAAACCCAATATAATAACGATGCCCATTTATAAAAGCAACAAGAACAGGGCCCCATATGTCTTGAAGACAACAATTCTAAAGGTTGAGTGGCAACATAAGAAGATGGAAAATAAGGCAAACGATGATGCTTTCACACATGAACATGAAGCACATGAGTATGAACTAGTAATTTGAGATGAATTGGTAAAGAATGACATTGAATGATCGTTTGAAATAAGGATGACCAAGCCGTTTACGCCAACCATCAATTGACGTGCAGACTCCCAACAATGCAACAATCCCCTTATTCTATTCACTTGTAATAGAAAGTGACTGTCCTTAATCAGTCTGCACATCAAATTCAAAAATAACATCATTGTCTTGTTAGGTACATGCCTTAGAGTATGAACTGCCAATAGATTATTGATAAGATAAATCAAAACGGTGGTAACTTGATAAACCAGAATGCCCAATGCTATCGAGTACTTCATTTCACTAGTTTAAATAGGTACAAGAGAAGTCTCTCAAGAATCAAGAAGCATAGGGAACTAACACATGGAAAATGTGCCACGTGGTGGTTACTGGTACAACCAAATAACAGATTTTGTTATAGTACAGACTGTAATATGCCCCCTTCAAGTTGGAGCATGGCTATAAATAATGCCCAACTTGGATAGCATTGCACTGAATTGCCTAGAGCCTTAGTGAAGATGTCAGCTGGCTTACTCTTTGTAAGAAGGTGGGAAGTGACAATAATTCTTGATTGAAGGTGATGTTTGATGAAGTGGCAATCAATTTTCATGTGCTTGGTACGCTCATGGAATACTGGATTTGCTGCTATGTGGAGTGATGCCTTATTATCGCAATATAATTCCATGGGCTGGGAATGTTGTAGGCCTAAGTCTCTGAAAAGCCGATGGAGCCACAAAAGTTCACTGATGGCCGCTGCCATGTAGTGGTATTCAGCTTCTGTTAATGAGCGAGAAACTATAGATTGCTTCTTGGATTTCCATGACAAGGGAGAATGGCCAAGACTGATAAAGTAGCCTATAGTGGATCGTCGGGTAAATGGACACCCTACCCAATTAGAATCGTAGTAAGCCCACAAAACCAAATCATTGTTGCTAGAGAGGCAAATTCCTTGATTTGCGCATGACTTCAAATATCGAAGGACCCTAAGAGCTGCATCCAGATGCTGCTGACATGGTTTGCACAAGAATTGACTTAAAACATATAGCATATGTTATTTCTAACCAAGTAATGGTCAAATAGTTGAGCCTTCCAACCAATCCGTCTATAGCATTCTAGATTATCAATGGGTGAGCCTACATCTGACTCAAGATGATGTTGTTGTTCCATTCCATTGGGAAGGGACACAGCTTACAAGCAAACATTCTAGCATCTTGGAGTATGTTGATTGTATATTTTCTCTGACATAGGAAGAAGCCATCATTCGCTCTTGAGACTTCGATGCCCAAAAAATATTTTAGTGGGCCAAGATCCCTAATTGGGAAACATTTTTGGAGATATTGCTTCAGCGCTACAATTTGAGTAGGATCACTGCCTACGATGAATAAGTCATCAACATAGGCCAAAATGGCAAGAGATGAGTCGTGACTAAAGCATGTAAAGAGAATGGTATCGGCTGCAGACTGAGTGAATCCCCACTCTTTGAGAGCTCGTGATAATATATAAAACCAATTTCGAGAGGCTTGTTTGAGTCCATAGATAGAATTATTAAGGCGGCACACACGCGGGTTAGTGGAGTTGAGTAGACTCGGGGGTAATGTCATGTAAATCTCTTCATGGAGCTCATCATGCAAGAAGGCATTATTCACGTCCATTTGATGGGCTTCCCATTTTCGAACCACAACTAATGCAAATATGCAACAGGCTATCACTAGCTTTACAACCGGAGCATAATTTTCATTATAACCAATTCCTTCAGCTTGAGTATACTCTTTGGCCACTAAACGAGCTTTGAATCTTTCAATTGAACCATTGGGTTTCAATTTGGTTTTGTAGACCTATTTGCACCCAATAGCCTTCTTGTTAGGGGGTAATGTTGTAAGGGTCCAAGTATTGGTAGCTTGAAGAGCATTTACTTCAACTTGCATCGCCTCTCTCCAACAAGAGTGTTTTTGGGCCTGAGAGTAACTGGTGGGCTCAAGTGGAATGTTTGGGCTGTTGGAGGAATAATTGGATATGGGATATTGAATGGTAGGACAAACAAAATCGGATAGATGAGATGGGGTGCGTCTTGTCCTTATTGGTTGTGTGTTAATGGTGGTGGTGGTGGTGCTAGTATGAAAAACATTGTATTAATTGTAGTAGTATTAAATAAACAAAGCTAATCGATCCAAATAAGTAAATTAAGCCAATTAAACAAGGTTTTAAAAACTGAGCTAAAACAGAACCACGTTGGCCATCAGTTTCTGGGTCAACAGTTTGATCATCTAGTCCAATAGTCCAAATGGATCTTTAAAAATAAAAATAAAATATAATTAAAATAAAAATGACCCAAAACCCATTTACTAGATTAAACAATTTAGTGGTTCAATCCTCCGGGATAGTAGTTTGTTGATAGTCAATATTTTGTTTTTTTTTTTTTTTTTGAAAAAATTATGGGCAAGTATAAGACAGAACTAGAGAATTGACCGATTCTTGGGTCGAAAGGTTTAACTACTCAAAATTTTTAACTTTGTCAACAAACCACTGGTCTAAACTGTTCAATCCAGTAAATGGTTTTTAGGTCATTTTTATTATTTTTCAAAACGCCAATCCGTTCGGACTAAATGCTCAAACCATTGACCCAAAAAACTAATGGCCAAAGTAGTTTCATTTGGGTTGATTTTTAAAACCTTGCTTAATTGGCTTAATGTACTTATTTGGATCAATTAGCTTTGTTTTATTTATTTAATTAATTGACTTCATTTCCCTAATTAATTTAATTATTTAGTTTACTTAATTATCTTAATTAGTATAATTTATTTAATTTACTTAATTAACTTGATTACATACGTTAGGGCCATTTTTTAATTAACTTTATTAATTAATTAAATAGTTAATTATAGTTTAGGGTCCTTTAATTAGACCCCAAAGTAATTTACATAATTAACTTAATTAAAGTGGCCCATCTTCAAATTTTAGGGTCAAAAGTGGCCTTTTTCAAACTTTAGGAGTGCCACATAGCATTGTCTAATGGATCCATTGATGTCGTTTCAAATGCCGTTTGTTTTTTCCTACAAATGGCTTACCAAAGTCATGGGTCGAAACCGAGACAAAGGTTTATTCTTTAAGATTGAAATGATCTTTTTTATTCTTTAAGGTCGAAATTGGCCTTTTCATAAAATTTTAGGGTTGTCAAAGCCAAAACCTAGACAAAGGGAGTTCAATGGCTTCAATGTCGTCCAAACCTGAGGACAATGGCGGTATCTTTTTTTTTTTTTTTTCTTTGTCATAGTGATGGTAAACCTCCAAGAAGGGGGAGAAAAAAAAAAAAAAAGAAAATAAGGATATAAAAGAGAGGTGGGAGGAGATGAAAAGTGAGGATTAATGAGAACGAGTGACTGAAGAGAATGGAAATTGGCATTCTTGACACTACAAGTTGAAGAACAGAGAAGACCATTCATAGGGTTTTCTCAAATCCCCTAATTGAAAAACATTATTGGTTTTAAATGATAGTGATCAATGTTTAACTTGTTATACACAATTATGTCACCATTGGCATTAATATTAAGATTCCATATTTTCATTATTCCACTAATTTTTTTTAAAACCCAAGGAATAATTCTTTCAATATTTTTAAAAATAATGTCATTTTCAACTTTCCATATAAGATATTAAATCTTGTTCACTCTCCATTTAAGGTATTTTTTCACATAATTAAATTCTATTAATTAGATCTATACCCGATACTTTAAATAATATAAAACTCATTTAAAAAATAACCCAAAAATAAAACTTTATGTTGTCTATGTAGCAAATAAATAATTCAACCATTTAGATCAAATATATCAATCCATAATATTATAATTAAATAATAAAAAACAAAAAATAAAAAAATACATAAATTTTATAAAAAATCTTGAATATATTATTATTATTATTATCATTATAAAATTGTTATATACAAAGCACATGCACACTTGCAAACCTATTGGTTCAAGAAAATGACCTTCATTTCTCCATTAAAATCAACATTCAAAAGAATCAGCTTTTTGCCACAAAAATAGAGAAAATTGGAACCCCTACTCCAACTACTCTGCCACAAGGAAATTTCTCACATCGTTGAAGGAAAAGTAACTTAAATACTACTCAAGTAGGCTGCGTTTGGGAGTGCTTCTCCCTAAATGTGCAAAAGCAAGCTAATTTCAAATGGACTTCTTGAAAACGCACTTTTTGTGTTATGATCATCAGCCTTTTTGTTTAAAATAGCTTTGGCAAGCATAAAAAGATGAAAGTTTTTTCGTTTTTTTTTTTATTTCAAATGGGCTCATTTTGAGCTTTTTCACCAAACGGTTTTTTAACTGCCTTCTGACTTCTCCAATGTGAAAAAGAACAAAAAGCCCATTGGGCGAAAAAAGCTACTTTTTTTTGGATGGTTGAGGGAGACTATGGATTTGAATTGGTTCCCTGTTGAGTGTTGACCAGACAGGATCACACCCTAAGTTTGGTGCATTCTGTTCCAGAATTTGCCAAAAGAATGAAAGACTACTATCTAATACAAAGCATGGATTCAGGATTCCCATCTTAAGTGTTGGCTCAATTTCACAAATCTAGCATTCAATTGAGGGCTTCAAAATTCCCGACATTTGCTCAAGAATATTGTTAGTACAAGGCATTACTTACAACCACCAAAAGATGCGACTTGTGAGTTGTGAGTTTCCATACCAATAACTCCAATCAAAGCAAATCATCGCATATCTACACGTACAATGTCCATGGATCTTAAAACTTCTATCCCCGAGTCAAGTCAATGTCAATATGGGCGTTCCTCATATCCATGGGCCGTGAACCAGGCCACCCGCCCATCTGAGACGTAGGAGTCATATTCTGAATGGGAGGAATACTTGTAGGAGTGACTGATTTATCACCTGTTGGAGGCTCAGAATCTGCCCCTGGTTCTGTACCAAACCCAGCCTTGTTCTTTGTTTTTGAACCACCATAAACAAAACTCCCTACTATTACCTGCAAGGGATAATGCATCATGTGTTGTTGAGATTCAAACCTGCAACAATGCCACTCTCTCTCTCTCTCTCCAAAATAGAAGCACCTAAAATGTTCCCGAACAGAACAGAAAACATTACGGACAAGTACGGATACACATGCAGAATTCTGAATTCCAGCCCCCCCTACTACTAGCCCTCTCCCCCTATAAACCACATCCTGCCCGTGAATTTGGCATCAATTCACGGTCAGGATGCAATCCCCCTGTACTTTGGGGCTATAAAATTCTGATCTGGGCTGATTGGTCATTCTCCCAAAACATTATACCAAAGCTCAACTGGCAGTGTACCACATGCATCAGGCTTTGCCATGACGACAGGGCAAAAGCAAATGACAAGTGATAGACAGGACAACAACAATGAAAATGGGCAGAGTCGGCAGACATGATAAATATAACATGTCAATGCTTTTACCTGAACTGGAGTTGCTGCGATAAGCATTCCACCAACTCCACCACCAATGACACGACCATCAGGACTAGATAAAGAGACACTAAGACCACCAGTCCGGCTGCGTGAACCACCATTATCAGTGAGCATATAAGAGCCTGACAAACATAATATCTCGAATCGGCCCTGTAAAGGCATCAAACAAAGAAAATTTTACCCAGTAATAAAATAGCTAGAGGTGTAAACAAGACTGCATCATCACAAGAAGGGAAAGGCTGCAATGATGCATAAAAGCTTTTTTTTTTTGATAAATAATGATGCATAAAAGCTTATTGAATAATTTATAATAGTATCACCACATAGGAAGAAAGATAAGGATAATATTGACCAAGCATATCCTAAGTATGAATAGTTCTCGTAATGACTGTCATTGAGGTCTCTAGGAGGCCATTGGGCTAAAAAAAGATGGGACCGAAATATAACTAAAATAAAAATACAGTAAAAGAAAAGAAAAAACAAAACAAGTAATTCTACCAAATGCGTGAGATGAAATGCCAGAATAGTTACTAAAGTAACAAGAAGTCCCTTGTACAACTGCCTTTCCAACCTCAGTACATTACCCTCAAATAGGATAGAAGCAAAGGCTAAAAATCTTCCATGGAGGACATCAGCCAAATTCTTGCAATCTGGAATGAACTGCAATATAAAATGCTACCAGTAGCTACTCATTTCCCAAACAATGCAGATGGAACAATAGGCAACTTGGAGTTGGCAATCTGGCAAAACAAATGCCACAAATGTTGGCCCAACTAATATCCAAGATGACTTCACACTTCCACAGTACATCCAGGAGTTTAATCACCAAGGAGAGATAAATAATGCCACAAATATTGGGCCAACTATATCCAAGATGCCACAAATGGTGCCCGACAAAGATAAAGAAAGGGAAAAAGAAAAGACACAAAAAACATGTAGGCCAACTTAATATAGTCATCATTGCTGCTTGTATATGTATGCTATGATAAAAACACTAGAACTATGTGCAGTTAATATTGTATTGCCAAGTATGAATTTTCACATTCATCCGAAAAGAAAGAAATGCGGGGGGAGAGAGAGGGGGAGAGAAGGAAGCCCTAATTCCTACGTGACAGCTAGTAATCTTGTTAAAGAAACAAAATATTAAGTATTTGAACCTCATATGTGACAGTGCCACCAGAAGAAGAAGGTTGCCGAAGAGTAACAGTCGAGACAGCACCATTGGCTGAGAGAATGCAAACAGCCCTTGGTCCCTGTTGTGAGAATGACATTATTTTTGTTGCTATGTCCTGCATGAAAGACAAATAAAGATCATTTCATGATAGATAAACATTTATGCTCAGCGACATCTCATCCACCAGAAAGGGAATTAAACTTACAAAAGGAATTAAAGAAATCAAACACATTTAAAGGCCTAACCATGCATCTGACCAATTCCTATAGTAATTGAGTTGTAACTCACTAGTAAGGAAAAACACTAGGGAAATCCCTCCCTACAGTAATATAATGCAATCAAGACAACTCAAGACTATACACATTTCTCCCCATTACGTTCAAAAGGACAGACTTTTGACTCAGAAAAAATTGGATGAAAAGGCCAAGTTTAAGTTAAGGTTAAGGCTTTCCATGTGCAAATACATAGTTCTTCATCATTGAAAAGTCAGAAAAAAAAAGAAGGAAAAAAGGCCAGCTTGCTCCGCCCAACAACCTCGCCATTTACAATATCAGAGTGAACTGATTACTGATTACAAGAAATTTCTATTGCATGGAACTTCAGCAAAGCAAATTAATGAAAATCCTGAAGCACAAACAGAAACCCTCCAACTGTGTACAAAACTAGAATTTCTAATATAAATTCATGGTAGAGGTACAAATAATAATTGACAGAGGTATAGTGTACCTCCCCTACTGAAATTGTGATGATATGAGGAGTAAAACCCATTCCAGCAGAACCAGAGAGCCACTCACCTAGCAAGACAGTTAAAAATTAGCAGGTAACATCAATTACACCCAAAAGCACACGTGGAAACAAAAGTAACAAGTACTTTTAAGTAAGAACATATTTATATTATTTTCATAAATAAATAATTTCAATAATAAGAAATAACTAAAAAATATAACAATTGCAAGAACATCAAGAAAGAGATTCTACAGAACATTAAGGGAAAATCAAGAAAGGAAAATCATTCAGAATGCTCATAACCAAATTATCTCCCCCCCCCCCAAAAAAAAAAAAAAAACACACACACAAAGAAGAAAAAGCTAAAATCATTTCAAGCTCAATTGCCCACAAAAAATAGGACTGGTGGACAGATTGGACTGAAAATGAATATACAAAGATCCAAGTTTGATCCATTAATAACCTGGATTCGAATCAAACCTTATCCATCAGATTCAGATTGAACTTAGGTCAAACTCAAGTATTATATAACATTGATTAATTCCACTAAAAATGATCAAAATGCTATATATTATTAACAAAAATTACTAGAAAGCACTACAAAATTGTATATCATGTATAAAATCTCTTAAAAATGACTTTTATAGAAAAAAATTGTGACTCTTTTAGTAAACATACGATATTCAAACCAACTTTACTCATAGATGCATATTAATTTTATATAGATATAAGCAAATCTATTTAAAAACTGTCAGATCATTAATGTGAACCCATGTTTGATCCAATTATAAACAGATCAAATTCTAATAGCCTTAATCGGATCAAATTCAAATTTGAAAAATAGATATCATTTGGCACCGTAACAAATGGATATGGGCATATGGCATTAAATAGAATGGACTGGCAAAACAGGATCCATGTAGCCAACCTCATATTTGGGTGAATGCTTAGGTGATGATAATTTGCACCCTAACAAAAATTAAAAAAAAAAAAAAAAGAAAAGCAAAAATGCTCAAGGCTACCACTGCCCTCTTGATCCAGTGAATAAATTTCTATAACATTTCCCACATTTTGCAGCCACAAATTTATGCAATGCAAGTAAAATTGAGAAAGTACACAAAAATAAAAAGAGTAATCAACATATGAAGAGAAAACACAATATATTTAAGAGCACCGGTCTAAGCAGCACACTACAAGCAAAACAGGAACAGAGAGAGAGAGAGAGAGAGAATGACAGACAGATATTAGGATACGAAGATAAAACCAATTCGGTACATGAGGTGTTTATGCTCCAAGGAAAATTAGTGTTGCACAACCAGATGTGAACAAGGAGGAAGCAGCACAAGAAGACACTTGGAAGTAAATACCCACATGATCAGATATAGTAGATAGATGCAAGGTTTAAAGTATCAATACACCCGATATGCACAAGGATGCTTATCAGGTTTAAAGTACCAATTCGGTACATTCTTTTTTTATTTATTATTTTTATTTTACTCTGATATTTTTACAGACGGACCATTTTTAAAGGTATTAACACTTAAGCCTTCAAAAAGGCATTTCAGTCAGCTAACAAAACAATACAATACACCCAATATTGGGCATATCGTATCAAAATTTTGAACCTGATTCTAAACAGATAAAAAGACGGGAGGATCGTTTCAAATTCTGATGTTTAGGCTTGTTCAGGACTAATACTCCAAATTTCCATTTCTTCTTGTTCCAACAATTGCTCATAACATGTTATCATGTTTTATCTATATGAAATATGACAAATTAACATACAATTCACATAATCCCACACATGAATCCTTGTCACAAGGCTTGGTAAGTTTTAGTCCTGGCCATGTAATATTTTGACACTCAGACCCTTGCCTTAACAAAGAAGGCATGAATTTTAGATGTTACACAGCGCAAAGAAAAGAGAAAAGAAAGGAAGAATGAAAAGGGAAAAAAAAAAAAACATATTATTGCATTTCATGTTATTCATCAATCAATTGATTCATGGCACTGATTCTTGAAAACTTGTCTTAATGCTTCAATTATCAAAAAGGAACCCGTTTGAAAAGGATAGGAAATTGTTTAAAGCTGTTCTTATGGGAATTTCTGAAGCTTTCTATCCATCCACTTGTTATATCTCCATTTTTTTCATCAGGGATGAGACAAACACTACATGATTTCAGCGTTATCACCAAAGTCAGCATAAAATCAATAGTCACTGCTTGGCTCATCTGCAAATATCAGTTTCACATCTCAAGAATTTGCTAGCAATCGAGTGACGTAATCACGTTCCTTAACCTTATAGAAAAATTGCATGGCCATCATGGTGGGCAACAGTAACTTCGATGATATTGTTGACATTATAACGTTGTGACTTGGCCTTGATATTTTGAGTTAATAGGCAACCGCATAGGTACATACAGCAATGCTTGTTAATAATTGGAATATTGGATAACCACTTGCATTTTCATGTATCTACTAGATAAGCAGAAAAGCATTCCAGTGAAAAAACTCAGTTCTATAAATGTATTGAACCCAGATTGGGAGAAATGCACATCACTAGATGTAAAAGTTACACCAGTGGCCTTACATCCACCCTGTCAGAACATTCTAGTATAGGATATAGTCAGTTATTTTGGGAGATAAACAAGTTAGCAACATTGAACTGCTTTATCAGGCGTATCTTATGATGCACAAGGAAAATCCTTGTGAAGAACAAGGGATACTGATGTCATTGCATAGCTGAAACATACAAACATTCATATCTGGATCACCGATTTCTTTTATTTAACACTTGCAAGTCTTAAAAGTAAATCTCACAAAGAAAACTCACCAAGAGAAGCTAGTTGTTGCTTCCTCCCAGTTCCCGGTGGCCGCCCTCTTCCCCGCTTCTGGGTAGGTGTAAGTGACGCCGGAGAAGGGGTAGAGGACAAGGGAGACAATGCCAAAGCTACAGTTCCATCAGGTCCATATTTTCGTGGTCTTCCCCTTTTCCTTCTTACCGGCTCGGAAATTCGGGCCATTCCTGATGGCACACCCACGTTAGCGGCATGAGGTGAAATGGCCGCGGAAGACTCTACTTGGAATGTTGATCCAACTGAACTACCCCCAATATTTGATTGAATGGGCATACTTGGACTGGATAACGGCCGAATGCCAGGTGGTCCATGTAACCCTGCCTGTGCTCCCGGTCCTGACCCAGAAATCCCTCGCTGCTGCATATAATAAGATGCAGACCCGGACATCGCCATGGCTTCTCTCCCATCCATGCATTTATTCTAAAGATAACCACAGCCACACCTTCACTAAAAGTCTATGAATTTAAGCTTTTTGAGGTTGTTTCTTCTAACTATGGTATATAAATACACAGCAAGAATGTAGAGCATCCAACTGAACCGTGGCTCTTCAAGAAAGCCAACCAATTGGGGAGAACGAAAAGACTACTAGAAATGTTTAAACGGGAATTTCTGCACAGTATCAACCTCGGATGAACTGTGCGAGCTCTACATAAAGAACGAAATTCAACAGGATTAACGAAGAAAGTCCAAGCAAATACCCGATTGGACCTGCAGTAACCAATGAGAGCAGCAGGGAATAAACGGAAACCAAGGGGTATTTGAAAGAAAATGCACTTGATTGTGCCCTGATGCTGAACAAAACTACAAAAAGCACAATCAAATATTTAAATATGCTAAAATCCCATGTGAAAGGCCTCCACTGAAGCTCAAAGTGTAGTCTGGAAGGACGAAATTGCAGTTGAACCCATCAAGAAACACAAAGTTGGGAGCTTGTGTAGATAATGTTGTGCTCAAAGAAAGGAGGGTTTAAACTCTAAAGGATTATGTAAAACAACACAAAAGCTTCAGGAGTGGAGTATTGAAAATCAAAGATACTAACCTTTTTCCCTTTCTTAAACAAAAGTAAAAGACAAATAAAAATTACATAATAAAAACAAAGAGTAGGGAACTCTATGAAAAAATAAGAAAATAGGAGAAATACTAGATAGGAACGTTTCTAAATGTAAAGGAGCGGAGCAACGAAGAACCCTATGATACTAAAACGTCCTCCAACGAGAAAAAACAACGACGAAGCATCAAAGAAAACAAAAAAGCAACAGAACCCAGAGGAGAGGAAAGCTCGAGCACTGTCAAACAAAACTACGGAGACCTAGATGTTTAAATTCAAAGAATAAACGAGCGAAGAGGAGTTTAAATTCAAAGAGTCACGGTTCAACTTAAATTAAAGCAAATTTGAACTCGTTACAGCTTACGAAACCCTAGATTCAAAGTTTCATCGGGAAGATAAAGCACAGAGGGAACGGGGAAAAGCCAAAGTCTTTCAAAGAAAAGCTAAAGTTAAAAGCTCGAGCAGTTTCCAATTTCACCAACACATTAGAAACCCTAAGCACCAAGCTTAGCTTTTCTTTTAGAAATGAGAAACCTCAGAGGCAGAGATAACACAATCAAACCAAGTTTAAAGCCCACCTAACTAGTAGAAACGAAACTCAAATTAAAGTACTAACAGTCAACCCAGCTAAACTCCTTGGCAATATATATATATATATATATATCACAGAAAAAGTAAATGATTGGAAGCTCTTATAAAGAAATGCAGAGCAGCACAAGGAGAAGAACAGGAAATGGAGAAGAGAAGTTGAATTTCAAAGATTTCTTTTGTCCTCCCTTCTTTTTGTTTTTGGGATTTTGAATTAAAGGTCGAACACTTTTCGCCATTCATGGCCGTAATTTTCTGACTCAGAGAAAATTACAGAAGAAGCCATTGGATGGAGGAAGAGGAAGCGAAGGACAGAGCTTGGTGACCTAATAACAAGCAATGGAGAGAGAGAGAGAGAGAGAGAGCTTTGGGTGGAAGGGGTACCCTACAAGTCCTTATCGCCATGCATTTTTTAGGGCAGAGAGCTCCTCTGATGCCTACACTGCTTTTTACTCTCTGAAACAGAAAAAACAGAAACAGTGAGGCCGAGTGTGCGCGAAGTATGACCAGAAACGCAGAACCAAACAATCTGCAACAGAAAAGCATACAAAAAATAAAAATAAAATAAATCGAAAATAAAGTAATTGATGTACCAAGAAAAACCAAAAAAGTAATTTGTAGATAAACACCAAAAAATAGAAAAAGAAGATATGGGATATTGGGAAGAGATTACATGGAGATCGACCTCACGTTATACGGCATTAAACAACCACCCGATTGGAGATAGAATTCGAATCTAACGGTTATAAGAAACTGCATTTTCTACAAATGAATGAAATATAATTATATATATAATAATATAAAATATGTAAGCTTTTTTCGGGATCGTGAACCCAAATATTTTTATAATTTAATTTATAATTAATTTTGGATTCCGGTTATTCTCTTGATCTTGATCTTTTCTGATTTTTCTCTGCTACTTTATGTGCCATAGTTATTCGTGCTGAGATGATGACGTGTAATTTGAGGGAGACTATTGTGTGCACTGTGCTCTGTGCTGTGTGCAATGCGCATTTACTTTTGTCGATACTTGCCTTGGCTTCACGTCCAAACCATATTAATCCATTTCCTCTCTCTATTTGTTATTTTGTTTTTTCTATCCGCACTTTTTTGGTATTATTTTCTCTCCGCAATTTGATAAGATTTTTTCTTTTTCTATTTTTATCATATATCGATTTATTTAAATAACACGTGGCGCATATCTAAGATCCGAGGTGAGTGCTAGCATTTGGGTAAATTATAAAAAACCTGGTAGAGTGACACAAAGAACCCCAATGATAGGGGTGCAAATGGATCCGATTTGAGATATCTAAGATCATCCCTTGTTTGGATTTTCGGATCGGATTCGAATCACCACTATCTGATTCAAGAAGATTTGATCTGATAAATATAAATATATAATATATATGTTATTTATTTATTTATTTATAAATATACTTTTTATATTATATTTTTATAAATTCGTTATATTATTTGTTTTTTTATCAAAAGCATCTATATATATGATGAAAATAATTAAAAATTACTTATGTTTTTTTTGTTTTTGATTTATTTTATTTTCCTTTTAATAATTTATTATTTTTTAAAGAAAACAAGTCGAATTGGATCTGATCCGAAGACTCGACTTACCAATAGGATTTGAATTCAAATCGAGTCCTATTAGATCAGATTGGATCTTTGGATAAGATCAGATCCAACATGAACAATGGTGGATTGGATTCGAATATACCCCAATTCAAATCTAATCCAATCTGTTTGTATCCCTACCCAATGATTATTATCCCCTTACTTTTATTTATGACAAAGACCCTTTCAATTTTCACTTTGCGGCAAATATCCCTTTGTTAAGAGTCTTGTTAACTAGGGGTGGCCATGAGCTGAACTTCTCACGAGCTATTCGAGCTCGACTCATGAAAAGCTACGCTCGGCTCGATTTAAACTAAGCTTCGAGCTAAGCTCAAGCTTTATATATAGGCTCGTTTGCTAATAGAGTCAAGCTCGAGCCCAGTGAAGCTTGGCTCGTGAGGCTCATGAACCTAGTATAATAAATAAATAATTTTTTATTACATACATACATACATATACATATAAATATATAAATACATATAAAAAAATTATTTATTATATATAATAATAGTTTATTTTTTATGTATAATACTAAATATTTTTCATAATTCTTAATTTTTTGTATGCAAAATAATATATATATTTCATATCTATAATTTTTAATTTTTAGAAAAAAAAAACTTGGCTTGCATTCAAGCTCGAGCCGAGCCGAGGTCGAACTTGTGAGCTTTGAATCGAACCGAGCACGGGCTCAAGTCTCTAGCTTAAATTGAGCTCGAGCTTAAGCCTAACACAATTTCAACGAGTCGAGTTCGAATAGCCAATTATTCGGCTTGGCTCGTTTCAAATCCACCCCTATTATTAACTTTGAAAAAGATTTTTGCAAGTAAGGTGGCGGCTAGGTTAAGGAGGCGGTCTTCTTTGAAAGACAGAGAAAGACTGTGGATAAAGGGAATTGAATCCGAGGCCAAGACGTCAAGCCTGAATGATAGAGTCAGAAGTCAATGATGAAGATGCTCAGCAACTGAGTGAATTTCATTACAAGGAGGATCTCTATTTATGGGGGAGATCCCGAGATCCTAAAAGGAATGAGTTAAAGGTGCTTGTTTCCTACTAGGAAAGGGAATATTGGATTTGTTGTTAGTCATTCAGGGCACTATTTGGGTTTCACCACGTGTCCCTATGGGGATCTTTCTGAGGATTGTCTTTCCTTTCACTCAAAATTCGTCATAACCTACGTGTGCTACTACCCTTTGTGTGCCCTACTTAACTAACATGGAGCTAGTGATGTCGCCGTTTGGTGGACGACATCTTATTAGACCTACGTGGTGCCTTGTCACATTCATTCCTTCGATGTTACGCATGTAGGTAACATCTGGGCTCGGTTCTTAGTGAACTGGGGTGTTGTAACGATTGAGAGTTTATCGTAGGGCCAAATGTGTGCGAACCTCATTACAGGTTTGACCCAGGTTTGCTTTGGGTTGAGCTAGAAATAGGTTCATCGCATGGGTGCGATGACCCATGCGTTTATCACAATCCTACGATGATTTATGGGTTCATTGTAGAAGGAAGATTGGTTGCAGACTGATCATAAGCGTCCATGTGGTATCAATGCGGTGTTTACTATGCTTTGAGGAACTGAGCGAGCACTATATACCTACATTAGCCCCCCTACTTATTAGTAAGTAGTAGCTTATCGATAAGCACTTTGCTTTCACATTTGTTTTTAGGTCTTACGATGGATTCATTTGTGTACATTGGGTTTGGGGGTTTACCCTATTTTGCAATTTTGTTTAGAAGGTATAAACTTAATTTCGAACTTCGTCAGCCCTCCCTGCTTGTTAACGGGCTAGGATTCAATTACTCGGATGATCATGCATTATGTGCGTTCGTGATCTTTGGCATACATTAGGTATCTGATCCTCGATGGGGTTCCCTGCGTTCCATTGTTTAGCCCCCCTGTCTTTTGATGATTTCCTTTCTGTCAATGGGTAATTTAATGCTCCGTTTGCGTGTTTCAACCCCCCTGGCTATTGGCAGGAGGGGAATTCGCAAAAGACAATAATGTATTATGTATATGTATGGGCGACAAGCCCCCCCTTTATGTGTTGGGTGGTTCTTTATCTGGCTTCATGGTATTGAAAAAAAATGTATTGTAAGTGATCCCTTTCTGTCGATGGGCAAGTCTATGTTGAGTTTGTAAACTTCAGCCCCCCTGTATGTCAGGGCAGAAGCCTGTGCTTGGTGCACAGTGTTGGATAATGATGTATGATTTGATGTTGTATCCTATTCATCTACTGATTGAGATTAGAAAATTGACGAGTAATGGCCACGTGGCGGTTGTCATTTTCGATCCCTTGCCTATCATTTCGTAATAAATGGTCTATTTGCGTGTGTGTCGCACGGTTCCGATACCTAGTATTCAAAGTGGTGGTTGCTGATGTGGCACTTCATTTAAATTAATGCGCCGTTTTGCCCCACCTTTTGAAGGCTTTGTTTGTAATTTTCTCTAGGTTTCTTTTTCATTAAGCATCATTAAGGGTCTCGTGCAGATGCTTGTTCATCTTCTTCGGCGTCGTTTGGTATTCTAGAGTCATGAGGGTTTTCTTATAAGAGTGTAGAGGAACAGCATCGGTTCTCCATTTAACATTCTTGCCATCATCTCTGTGATAATTTATGTGGTCATTGAGTTGCTTAGCGATTTCCTCTCTATCTTTTTTCTTGTTTTGTGCGTTTTACTCTATCCGTTGTTTGTTTCTCATGGCTCATCGTTAGGAAAAGTTGGAATGTCCCTTTGTCGACTTTGTTAGGGAAGTCAATATAGTTGAGTTGTTGTTGGAGAGGGAGGCAACTATGGTAGCCGAATGGGGGAAGGGTTTCTGGCCCTCAATGCTAGTGTCCAAAGGGGAAGGCGGTCTATTTGACAACATCAACAGTACAGACTTGATGTGCCTCTACGGCTGACCGGATCAGTCGGTGGCATATAAGTGTCAGGAACCTAGGACTGACAACTCGAAGTTCTTAAACAACTATAGTGCTTGGAAAAGAGTTTGTGCTCAAAAACCCTATGTACAGCCCCTCCTACACCATTGGTGCTACCGAACTCATACCTTTGTTGGTGCGTTTGGGAGTTTACTATTATAGTGGAGGACATGGTTGCATTACTGGCACCGCCCATCGGGGGCTCTGTGTTCGCTTAACATCTCCAGCAAGTTGAGTCTATTCCTCACGATCGAAGGGATCTCTGTGATGAGCTTATTACTGAGATTGCTTCATTTAAAGCTCAAGGGAACAAGACCACTTGTCGGGGAAAGTTGCCATTAGAGCATTGGTTGGAATACTGGTTTGAATCTTGCAATAAGGAAAACGTGATGGTGCGTGGAGCAGATAGTCAATGCCACCTTGCCACCCACATCCTATACGTGGCTTCCCGGTTTCTCTTCCCGAGCCTCCCCAATTATGGATTGTGTATCGTTTTGGTGCTCCTTGCCGTCTTGGCCGCTAGTGGCCATCAACTACCTTTAGCATCCATGTTCTTGGGTTATTTGTATGAGAAAATATACGACACCGTTCATCAGATAATGGATTCCAGCTGCAAACGGCATATAAGTTACATTTGCGCCCCCTTTTTATGGATGCTTTTGTGTGAACACTTTAATTTCAAGGTCACACCCCGCAAACTCTCTCCTATCTACGTAGCTATAGCCACTATGAAGGGAGACAAGTTCGGAGAGAAGGTGTTCGAGGTCTACCAGGGGAAGCGTTGGCTTCAGGCCAACAGACATAAGCAATTTAAGATGAGTGAAATAGGTATGAAGTTCGCTTCGCTCAAGGACTTTGAATGAATGCCCTATACCTAGACCGTTCGTCATGCTATGTCATTCCGTGTTGGCATAC